AATAAGCCAAAGATCTCAAAGAAATAGAGTTCTTCCAACATGACTTCATGATTATGAAGTGGTGGGTAATGATGAAGTTACACCCGATGGAGAATTAGTTCATTTTGATATACTTGCAGGTGCTGAACTAATAAACCATAACAAAGCTTTGAAGATTAAACAGTGGAAGTTAGCTATGGTCGAAGAGTTACAGGAAATCGAAAGAAACAACACATGGGAGTTAGTCGAACTTCCAGCACATACAAAAGCCATCGAAATAAAGTGGGTGTTTAAGTTGAAACACAATGATGATGGGTCAAGAGCAAGACATAAAGAAAGATTAGTAGTTCAGGGTTTTCTTCAAAGAGCAGGACTCGACTAATCTGAAGTATTTTCTCCAGTAACAAGACTGGAGATTGTTCGACTAGTGGTAGCATTGGCAGGAGCCAAGGCTGGTCGACATTTCATTTAGATGTGAAATCAACATTTCTGAATGGTTCTTTCGACGAAGAGGTATATATCACACAACCTCCAGGGTTTGTGATTCAGAAATAAGCGAGTAAAGTATATAAGTTGCACAAAACGCTCTATGGCCTTAAGCAGTCACCTAGAGCATGAAACAAGAAGATCAACTTATACTTAGTCGAATTGGGATTCGTCAAATGTAAATTTAAGTATGGTGTCTATGTTCAGGTTGTAGCATAAGATATAACAATCATCGACTTATATGTTGATGACTTGTTAGTAACTGGAAATAACACTAAGAACTTGTCGAAGTTCAAAGAGCTGATGATGAAGGAATTTGAAATGTCGAATCTGGGAAAATTGTCTTTTTTCCTAGGCATGCAATTTCAAATGTCGAAGTAAGGTATGATACTACATTAAAGGAAGTATGTGAAAGAGATACTCAAGAGATTCAGAATGGATGATTCGAATCTTGCATTCTCACCTGTTGAACCAAATGTGAAGTTGGAGAAGAATGGAGAGGAAGACAAAGTTGATGTAACTTTGTTCAAGAAAATTATGGGATCTATGAGGTATGTGTGCAACAGTCGACTTGATATAGGTTTCGCTGTCGGATTAGTAAGCAGATATATGAGTGAACCAAGAGTGTCACATATGAAGGCTGCAAGAACAATCCTGAGATATTTGAAGGTTCGATAAACTGTGAAATACTAGTTCGCCGAGATTCTGAAGGCAAAGAAGAAATAGTGAATTACTTTTCAGATGTTGACTGGTGTGGAGATAAAGAAGATCGAAGAAGCACAATTGGATATTTCTTTCAAGTATTTGGTGCTCCAATTTCATGGTGTTCGAAGAAGCAATCTGTGGTGGCATTATCATCGTATGAAGCTGAATATATAGCAGGATCCTATGTTGTATGTCGAGCAATTTGGATCATATCTGTACTTGAAGAAATGATTGTCGAAGTGAAAAAACCTCTTGTATTGCAAAACGACAACAAGTCAGCCACAAATCTGACGAAGAATCTAGTTCTGCATGGAAGAGGTAAACATATCGAAGTTAGGTTTTACTTCTTAAGGAAAAAGGTAAATCGAGGTGAACTTGAAGTTAGACATTGCTCAAGTGAAGCACAGTTGACCGACATTTTCACGATTAAAGATCGACAAATTCATGAATTTAAGAAAGAAATTAGGAATAATTCAGATTGACTATTTTTAAGTATGTTCGACAACTTGAATTAAGGGGATGTGTTGACATATTAGATTAAATTTGATTAGATTTAATATTTAAATATAGTTCAAGTTTTGTAAGCTTAAGCTCAATTAAGGTTGTATATAAATAGTCATAGTTTGTATTATTATTTTGTACAATATAATTCAAGTGAATAATAAAATCTTCACTTCCTTTATTATTCTCTCTTTCTCTCTTCACTAAAAATGTTTTGTGTAATAACTTTTTCTTCTTTCCTGCACACTTCTTATCATTTCACACCTTTATAATCTCTCTTTCATCAAACCTAATTTTCTTCAAAAGTATTCAACAATACATTTATAAGAGATTAATAATGCTTTGATGGATTTTGGAAAATCTTTCAAAAGTTGTGTTTTAAGTGTGTTGGATACTGAGCAATTTGATCTGAAGTTGTTGATTAAAGAAATAGATTTAATTGATGTTCCCCTACAAAACTTTCTCTCTTATTGATAGAAGATGCACTCATATCTCTCAAACTAAACCGTAGGATTCATAACTATATTTGTTAGCTGGTGAGTACTAGGTTGGATTCGTAACTATATTAGTTGGAATTGTATCTTCTTTTTTGTGTTCAAGTATGTTTCAAATTTGTAAAAGGAGAGTAAGAGGGAGAAATATGTCACACTTTCTTTGCTCATCTCTATATTAATAAGCATAATCCTTTAAAAGATAACTTCCTTTCTATGCTTCAAGCTTCGTGGAAATAACTAAAAAATAATTGGAGTCAAAGGTTTATGTTGTTGTTAGACTCAATTATGCGTTGAGTATTTTTTTATTGTTCGTTGTAAAGATATATCTTAACACACAACATTGTTTTCCAAATACTTTTTTAATAAAATAATATTATAAAATGTATATTTTATAATATTTTATAATAAAATAATATTATAAAATGTATATTTTATGATAGTAGAAATATCATGGATCACAAATATCGTTTACCAACATATCAAAAAGATTCATGAGAATATTTTTAAACAAAGATATGTGAATATTACTCGAAACTCTTAAATCTAACTTCTTTCACTTTTCATTGTTCAAGTCGAAAATGTTTTCTTTCATCTAGTATAGTTTTAATTATATGACACTTATTTGTATTGTATTTTTTGTAATGTACAAATAACTTTTTTTAAATTTATTCTATGTCAAAGTTTATTGCACTTGAAAATTTTAATATTATAGTTGGAAGCAAATGTTTTTAAATAAAGAATAATTTTTCTATCCATCTAAGTTGAATAGTATACCTTAAACCAATCAAATAATATTATTAAGTTTTAATATACTAATTATTTATTAAATAGTTTAATTATTTGATATTTTCAAAATATTTATTGTGAGGATAATCTTACCCAACTTATGAGAATTTAACTTTTTACATTATCGAAACTCTTCTATAAAAAAAACTTCTTCTATTAAAACTACGAGAGATTAAATAATGATACAACCACAAACCATACAAAAAAATTTACACATCAAAGTTAGTAATATCAATTGTTAGAAAAAACTTAGGATTCCTTTTATAATTTGATTAAATATGGTAGGATTTTTCTCGGTGACAGAAGTGAGAAAAACTTAGGTGAAAATTGGAGCAAAATGAAGAAGTTAACACACATTTTTTGTGGTTGAAATAGTTTCTCCCCGCAGACCTAGTTCCAAAATCGAGAACAATATATGCATGGCTTGCCAAACTATATGCAATTATTAAATACCCTTGTACGTAGCTATACATATTTAACTGGTCCTGATTCATATTATTGTTTGTGAAAATAGCTAGGGACGACACCATATTAGAAAATTAAAAGAGATTTCAAAACTCTACTTTATTTTCAACTTCCAAATATACCATATATTCAATTGAAGACACATTACATATACCATTGTTTCTAAAATAAGACATTATTGATTAAATTATGGAGGTTAAGAATTGGCAGGGCCACTCATCCCTTAGTCTACTAAAAGTTAAACAAGTGCTTTAGGCTACAATTATGAAACCAATTAAGATAAGATAAAAAGACCTGCTATATGGTCTAACATGAGAACCCTAATTTCTATTGTCTCCTTGTGGATTTGAATCACTCTACCTGATTTATTTTGCCTTTTGTCTTCTTATAATTTATTTTACATGGTTAAAATGTGTTGGATTTATTTAAAAGTTTAGCTCAAGAATGGTTTATGCCAATAATAAGAGATGGAGCCAAGGCCCAGCGAGGTTGGGCACCTGCTCAGACTCTTCCTAGTATAACCTCAAGTCTCAACACCACTTCCAACAACTTAAGAAACCATCAATCTTCCATTCAATCTCCTTCATTTTCACATCAATATTCATCACTTTCATCACACCATAAAGCCGGTTAGTCCGTCTACGAGTCGCCATCGAAATTCGCCCACCAATCTTGTTTTTGTCTTTTCCGTTTTGCAGAAAAACATAGCTTTTAGTCTTACCCGCATGGTATTCGATAAAATACTTTAATCAATTTCTTGCCTCTTTTTCTTCATGATGTTGAACTATTGTTGTTGTTAAGAGAAATTATAGGGATATTTTTGATATAGATTAATTATAGGAGATTTCAGTTTTATTATAGAATTATTACAATGTTATTATAGGAGATTTACATACCTAAATAAGCTAATGTTGAATTGTATATATCCCAATAATTGTATCCTTGTAAAGACACGAAATATGGAATACAAAATTTTCCAATTCCACTTTCTACTATTCTGCTAATATGGTATCAGAACATAGGTCATAGATCCCCCATTTTTTCTCTCTATTTTCTGCAACATCTTCAGTTCTCCATTATCCTGTTCATCTGTTCATCTCTGCATTATGGAGAAAACTGATATTTTTAAACCCATTACAACCACCTTGATCGGACCAAACTACAATCTTTGGGTCCAAGAAATAAGAGTTTTCTGATCGGACGCAAGCTTTGGCGCATAGTCACCGGAGATGTCGTCAAGCCAACTCAAGACAAAGATGAATCTGCTACAAAATTTGCGGACCGCCTTGAAGATTGGGATAGTAAAAATCACCAGATCATCACGTGGTTGCGCAACACGTCTGTACCGTCTATTCACATTCAGTTTCATAACTACGATTCTGCAAAAGAAATTTGGGATTTCTTGAAAAACCTCTGTCAAACCATTGGCCTTGCACATTATTATCAGTTATGGACCACACTTCACAATACCAAGCAAGAACTTGGTCAATCCGTGAATGATTTTCTCGCTCAAGTCCAACCAATTTGGCATTAAATATCGGTTGCCAAAATCAGTGAAACCACCTTCATCTCATTCAAGTCCTTATGGCTCTTCGGCCCGAATATGAAGCCATACGAGCCTCACTGCTGAATCGAAATCCGCTTTCATCATTGGACACTGCTATTCAAGCAATCATTTTTGAAGAAACGCGTCTGAATCTAGACAAAACTCCTCAAATGGATGCTGCTCTTGCAACTACTCGATTCTCACATCAAAAATCGAATCATCATCCATGTAAGAATTGCAATCGCACTGGTCATATATTTGCTAACTGTCCTACTATAGAGTGTAGGTACTACCATGGTATCAGTCACATTCTTGAACATTGTCCCACGCGACCTCCAAAACAAAATCGTGGCTTCACCAAATCCAAGAATGTTCCAACGTCTGGATCTTCCTCCATCTCTGTTGTTGCCACTGAAGGTTCGACGACCATCACTATGAGTGATATTGAAGATTTAATCAAACAGGTTATGTCTTCCAACAACTCTACTGCCATGTCTGCTACTCACGGTAATTCTCGTTGGTTTTTTGATTCTGCATGTAGCAATCATATGACCACTGGTATTAAATCATTACCTGTTGCGACACTTGTTTCATCTCTGCCACCAATCCACATAGCCAGTGGCAATACAATAAATATCACTCATACCGGTCATGTATCCACCTTAAATCTCACCCTTCCTGACACATATTACATTCCTAACTTGAAACTTAATCTTATTTCCATTGGTCAATTGTGTGAACAAGGACTGAATGTTTATTTTTCTCCCTCTGGTGTTCAGGTACATGATCCACAGACGAAGCAGATCATTGGGACGGGTCGCAGGGTGGGTCGGCTATTTGAGCTACAATCTCTTCACCTTCCCAAAGATCATATTTCTGCTACTACTATAAATTCTCCAATTCATCAATCGCATCTTCGTCTTGGTCACGCCTCAGCAAGCAAAATTCAACCTCTAATATCTCGTGGGTTATTAGGATCCACAAAGGTTGAGCCTTTTGATTGTTTACATTGTAAACTTGCCAAACAGCTTACATTATCATTCAATCGTAGTTTTTCTAGTTCAGATAGTCCTTTTGATTTAATTCATTCAGATATTTGGGGGGCCTTCTCCTGTTTCTTCAATAAATGGTCATCGTTATTTTGTATTGTTTATTGGCAATTTTTCTTGTTTTACATCGATATATTTTTTGAAAAATTGTTCTGAATTACTTTAAATTTATATTTCCTTTGCTCGTATGGTTAAAACACAATTTTCTTGTGCTATTAAGATTCTTCGCATAGATAATGCGATGGAATACCATGAATCTTCCTTGCTTCAGTTTCTCAGTCAGCAAGGCACCGTGGTTCAACGTTCATGCCCTCACACCTCCCAACAAAATGGTCGGGATGAACGAAAACACCGTCACATCCTTGACTCAGTTCGTGCTCTTCTCCTCTCAGCCTTGTGTTCAGAGAAGTTTTGGGGGGAAACAACTCTTAATGTTGTCTATACAATTAATCGACTTCCCACCATAAATCTTCAAAACTTATCTCCTTTTGAAAAACTATTTGGTAAGTCTCCTGAATATTCCATTCTTAAACCTTTTGGATGTGCTTGTTTTGTTCTCTTGCAGCCTCATGAGCACACAAAATTACAACCACGTGCTCACTTGTGTTTCTTTCTTGGCTATGGCACAGAACGCAAATGATACCGCTGTTGGGATCCAATCTCTAACAATTACGCATCTCACGTCATGTTACCTTTTGGGAAGACACCATGTTCTCCTCTCTTTCTACATTTCATCATTCTCTTGACACCGACTCATTTTATTTCAGTGATCCCTCAGTTGAGTTGTTTCCAAGTTCTAATGTAGATAACTTTAATAACCTCAATACTCTTCTTCCCTCACCCGCTCCTAATGAACTTGTTCCAGATGTTGAGCTCAATACTCGTCCGCCCTCACCTGCTCCTACTGAACCTGTTCTGGATGTTGATATTGTACTTGCATCTCGCTATTCCATCCGAGTAAGTAATCCACCTACTCATCTTAAGGATTACCATTGCTACTATGCTATTAAAACTCTTCATGAGCCTTGTTCTTATCGAGAGGCAAGTACTAACCCCATTTGGCAGCAAGCTATGGCTGAAGAAATTGAAGCTTTAGAAACGACAAATACTTGGGAATTAGTTGATCTTCCTGCAGAAAAGATTCCTATTGGATGCAAATGGATCTACAAAATTCGTGCTTATCTTTGATCCATAGTTCAAGTTATTTATATATTTGAAATCATGGTGAAATTTCTAACAAGTTTTGTGTTTACTATTTCTAAAATGGTTGAGAGATGAGAAAGTTACAGAATTCAAAAATTTGGTCTGAAGAACTAGCGCGAGGAAGTAGGTGAAGTTGTCACTAGAACTTGTTTTTTTATTTTAAATTTATTGCAAGTTGTTCCAATAACGGATGAAACAACCACCCCGGTGGCAAGACGCGCGCGTATAAGGCTTTGGTGTGTGAGAACCTGGGTCCGAGCCCCAGCGTCCCATTTTCCTAATTTCCTAACATTTTTATTTTCCTCTTTGTTTGTTTTAGCACTGGGCCTTCCCCTTTTGGGCCATTCGTTTTACTCACTATCACCCCCCATTTCCTAATAGCTACGCTGACCCAACACCCTTTTATTTTATTTTTATTTTCTGATACAAAAACTGATTGGAACTAAGGCTTTTCCTTTTGCTATATTCTAACCTCCCTCATTTCTTTTCAACCCCCTGACTCTTTAATTTACTTTTATTTTATTTTCTTGTCTTCTTCTATTATATTTTATTATTATTATTTTTAATTAAAAATATACAAAAATATATTTTTATTAAATAATTAAACTAAAAGCTTTTTATTTTATCTTTACTTTATTCTATTTTATAAATATCAAGAACCCCAAAAACATTTTCTTTTCTTAATTAATTGAAACTAAACTAGACTTAGCTTTTATTTAATTTTATTTTAACTAAATTAGACTTTAGGTATTATTTAAGCTTCTTGTAATTAATTAATTTAATTAGGGTAATAAAAAACTCTTTTCATAAATAATCCATAAAAACAATTTCTATTCTCTTTATATTTCTTTATATATTTTATTATTTTGCACTATAAGTTATGTAATTGTCAAAGTCTTGTAATAGTAATTAGGGTTTATTTTATTTGTCATCCCCATTTGTAAATTTGTATCCCCCATCCCTTAAGTATTGTAATAGCGTAGGATACTTAATTTCCACAATTTATCGCTTTCCATATTATTGCTAGTAATTAGGGTTTGTATGGAAAGACTTAAAACCAAACAATAGACAATCCTAATCCAAGACAAATTAAATGAAAACAATACACTTTGCACACATGCACCTCTAGGGTTAACTCACACTTGTTGTCTTATATTAAATCAGTCATGTCCCTCGAACGTGAGATATTTTAGCAAAAGACCCTCGATTAAAAGATCATAGTCCCTCGATGACCCTTCAAAGTTTCATTCGGTAAATGATCTTAGTCCCTCACGATAATTGCTAAAACATCTTACAAGTTGCCTTCTATGACTGTATGACAACTGTAATACGATGGGAGAACTGACTTGAAGGTTTTACGTTTGATTACAAATGTTGCGGTTAGCAAGAGTCGCCACCGACTTTTCTTATATCCAAAAGGAAAGGTGAAAAACACAGGAAAGACATTTGAGATTGTTTCTTGGGTTCGGGGGGTAGATTATAAAAAGGGAAGGTATTAGCACCCTTTTTATCCATGGTTTTCCATGGGCTCTTAGTTACTTTCTAGATCACTTGCTTTTGTTTGAAATGGTGTTTTGTATGGTTTTTGAAAGTATTTTTGTAAAGAGGCCATTTTTTAGGCAATATTTGTAATGATTCTTGTTCGTAAGAATGTATACAAAGATGTTTGATCTTTTGAAAAATATTTTCAAGTTTTGTAAGATGTTTTGAAAGTGTAAGTGTTTGTTTTTGAAAATAGCAAGGATGTTTTGTTTAAAATGGAGCAAGTAATTAGGAGCAATCTACCTACTCAAATGTCTTTCTTGTTCATTTTCTTTTCCTTTGACATTGTTGTCTTACCATTGATTTGGTAAGCAACCCTATCTTTAGATGTTAACGGGACGGGCGTGGGTCATCGTATAACCATGATTAGCAATGTTTCAAGGTATCTTAGCATTATTTTTGAGGGACTAAGATCATTTGTAAGGCAACTTAGATAGCATCATCGAGGGACTATGATCTTGTATTTGTTTGTTTTTTCTAAGATACTTTACATGCGTAATATGGCCATTTTGTATAAGGAAACCAAGTGGGATAACCTTAGGGGTGCTTGTGTGCAAGTGTATTATTTTCATGCTTGATTTTTTCTTGAATTAGAGTTTGCTATTTGGTTGGTTTTAATCTTTCCATACAAAACCTAATTACTAGCATTGTATATATGAAAGCGATAAATTGCAAAATTCAAAATTACTACGCTATTATAATACTTGTGAGAGGGGGGTATACAATTTATGAATAGGGGTTGCAATAATATAAACCTAATTAATCTATTACAACCAAATTTAATATGTACAAATAATTGAAGAAATATATAAAGTACAAATGCAAATGGAAAGAAATGATTTTTTTTGTTTGGATTTTTATATGAAAGAGGTTTTAACCTAAACCTAACTAGAGAAAAAAATAATTAAATCAAAATTAAATTAACTTAAATTAATTAAGAAAAGAAATTAATTAAGAAAAGATTTTTGAATAAAACCATAACTCTATTTAGTTGATTAAAAGAAAATAATTTTAAAGAAAGTATATTTTTTTTAGCATTTTTTATCTTGAAAGTATTTATAGCATTAAAAATATAATATATTTTTAAATGGTATGAAGAAAAATAAATAATATAATTATTAATTAAGTCTATAAGATTTAGTTAATAAAAATAAATAAAGTATAGTAAATAAAATATTTTTTTTTTTAGAAAAAAAAAGTCAAAATATAAAATTATCATTTTTTTGTGTTTTTTATGGTTTTTTAGTATTTTAGAAAAGAAATATTTAAGAAAAATAAAAATGAAATAAATAAATAAATTGGGCCAGGGTGCAAATATGAAGCATGGGGGGGGGGGGGGGGGGGGGGGAGGTTAGAAAAAAGTCAGGCCCAGGATGGGGGAGGCCCATGCGCTGGAAGGAACCAAAAAAAGACAGAAAATGTAAAAAACATTTGCAAAAGGCAGCGCTAAGTTTCGAACTCACGACCTCTATCAATAACGCGCGCTGCCTTACCACTGGGGTGGCTGTACATCCGTTAACTTAAATGAAAGGATAAATACATAAGGTAAAAAGTTTCCATGGCCTGTACTTCGTCTTCAACCTTCAGCCAGCCGGACCACCTATATCTTATTCATTTCTCAACAAAAATGAAAAATGAAAACATGAAAGTTGTGCTATTTTTCCTCACGAATCTAACCATATAACTTATGTAAGCTAAAAGTCAAAGATGAAGATTAATTTTGCTGGCCCTAAATTGAAACCTAATTTTCTCAGAAATTTCAAATCCAAAATTCTCTATACACAGTCAATATAAATGGGAACTATGAACATGGTCAGTTTTAGAGCAATGATATCTACATTTTATCTTCACAAATCAGAAACAAATGATGCTTGTATGAAGAGATGGAAGTTTGAAAACTTACCTCTTGCAACTGGAGTCGTGAATGGAGTTTGAGCAACTTTTGAGATGGCCTGAGGATCTATTTAGCTTGCCTGGACTTCCTTGAGTGTATTCCAACTCCTACTTTGCCTTGAAAGTCCCTGAATCTCTCTACTCAAGTCAACATGCAAGCTTGATTTTTGAAAATGGTGTATAGTGATGGAGAAGTTACAGTCTTGAAAGAGGGGCCTGAATTACTTTGGTATGATGTATAGAAGGTGTTTGAATGATTGGTTTTCAAAACACACGAGTGGAAATGAAGATCATGAGTTTTTGCTCAAAACTGTCAAGTTGGGCAGTTTTTGTATAACAATGGTGTTTTAAAGAGTTTTAGGATGCTTGGAATCGTGTCTCAACTTGAAATGAACTTGTTAATACGTATGGAAAAGATTAGAGTACAAAATAACTCCAGGTTTCTTAGTTATAGGTTATGGCTTGGTTACTTGATTTTGAAGCAAAGTTGACAAACATGGTTTCAATGTGAAGTACAAGGATTTGTAGGGTGGTTAGCAGGCTGTAGATATGTTGCTTCTTGATTTTAAATGTTTTTGAGTCAGAAACAACAATGTATCGGCTCAAGAAGAACTGACATTGTGATTAAAGTCACTTTTCCAAAATGGAAGTGGTGACTTTCTTCCCAAAATGGAAATGCAACTTGGATAATGGCTCAAATGCTTGGACAATGGATTTATCAGTTGTGTAAACATTAAATTATTGATTGATTATAAAGATTGAAGCCTGCAAAGCAAGATTTGTACAACATGCTTGAAGATTGGATCAAGTGTTCTTCACAAAATGGCTTGTAATTCAAGTTTGAAAACCCTAACTTCTTGCCTTCGATTCTCCTTGCTCAAGAATGATCTCAAGGAGTTCTTGGACATTTTGGAAATATTGAAATGTGTTCTACAACCCATATTTTAATTGATTTTGAATATTCCCTTTGGAACTATGTGAAAAATTGTCATGAAGTTAGGT